CTAGTGCCTAAAGTTCTTCAATTAGAGTTTGCCTTTTCCTAGAACTGTCCTGGCCCCAAATTTCTTAATCTACTATATGTCTTATTTGATGAAAAATTCACTAGAATTAGTATCACTGTGTAAGCTATTCTGAGGATGCTAACTGTGTTACCTATCCTGGGACATTTGAATTTAAGGGCTCAGTACTTTATAATCTCAAGCAAAACATCTCTAGAGATGGAAATTCATATACAGGTGGAAAGTTGATATTATCTGTGGTGTCCCTCAAGTAAGTCAGGCCCTGAATGTGGTGGGAGGAAAGAGCCAGTTCAACAGAAAGTAAAATTTGTTTGATTCAGTGTTTCCTAAACAGACGTCCTGCAAAATGCTTTTTTTAAAAAAAATAAGAGTATGTTTCTCTTGTACAATAATTTTTGGAAATACTACATAACCCATCCTTCTCAAGAGAAGAGAAATTGCATATAGGCTCACTAAAGCTATGACAAGTTCTTCAGTAAACATATTCGTTTTACCTTGTTTACGCCAGTTGTGTTTCAAATAAGAACACAATTTCTCAGAAGTCTTTGACTTTGCTAATAATAGCACTCTTTCTAGGACATCACACAGAAATCTGTGTAAGGGGCCAAATTTTTTCTAAGAAATTTGGATACTTAAGCCTTTCACATGGAGGGAAATAGACTGTATGTGCTATTAGCCATTTCTCTTTCATGTGTCTGAAGTTTTATGATCTACTCTATTATTTTAACATCAATTTTTTAGGAATTCTGATTCTGTAAGGTTATAAGTATAATAAAAATATCTGTGTATTTGATGCCAAATTCATGCATTGTTCTACTGTTTTTAACTTGTTTTTTCTTTTCCATCTGAATAATTATGTTTTCTGGGGGCTTTTATACTGTAAACACAATGAAATTGTGAATCATCAATATAGTCTAATACAGCAATCATAACAGCATAATAATTTCACATTTTAACACAGTATAATTGGAAACACAGGGGCCCTTCTATCTTTTACAAAGTTGTTTATTTTATACTAGTTTCAGTCTTACTAAAGAATGATTCACCAGAATAAAGAAAAATCACACAGACAGATCCTGTTTCTATAAAACAAAAGCCCACCTGCAAATAAGACTGAACTCGGCACCTTGAACTGAGCTGCCACCTGGATGGTTCAGTGGATAGAGCATGCGCTCTTAACAACAAGGCTGCTGGTTTGACTCCCACATGGGATGGTGGCTACGCCCACCTGCAACTAAGACTGAACACAGCACCTTGCGCTTAGAAGCCACGAGTTCCCGAAGGGGAGCCAGATGATGACTGGCGCCCTCCACAATAAAGACTGAAGAACGACAACTTGGCTGGTCCCCTTCTGCAATTCCCCAACACTATTCCCCTTCCCGAATTCTCCAATAAAATCTTAAAAAAAAAAAAGTATTCTAAAAAGCCTTTAAAATAAGAAAGCATCTTTTATTTCAACTATAAAAGTCATGCATGTTATTGTAAATGATTTAAAGAATAGATAAATATATAAAATGTAAAGTCAAAGTCCCAGGTAATCACTTGCTAATAACTACTCTACAGTTTGGGGCCCCTTGGATTTAAAAAAAATAGACAATATATAAGTGTGTGTGTGTGTGTGTGTGTGTGTGTGTATAATATATACATTTCACTGTGTGTATATCTATCTATCTATCTATCTATCTATCTATCTATCTATCTATCATCTATCTATCTATCTATCTATACACAGAGATATAAATACCGTAGAGTGATATAGACTAATTATAAAAAATAATAGATGACCATAAAAAAGGGATTTGAAAACTGGATCTCTTTTTATACTCTATGACCCATTTTTCTGACTGTGGAAGCTCTGAATGGCAGCTGCCATTTTGATACATTTCTCATTTTCTTTTGGCAACAGGACTTCAATTTTGTTGGCCTTATAATTCTCATTTCTTGACAGGTTCCCATCAAAACCACATACCTTCCCCCAAAATTTCCCACAGCATTTTTAACTGTGTCAAACTTGTCAGGACAGTTCTGCTTAGTTTAGCTATCTTCTAAACTTCATTTTGATAACCCATATCATTAAAAAGTACTACAGAAGCCTCATGTTTATTTATCATTTGCACATGGTTCATGAAGCCATTATTCAAATCTAAATGCACTCACTAATGTATTTCATAACAAACATATATCCATAGGCTTTTTTATATTCTGATTATGTCTCCATGTGCTCAGCTATCTATATTTAATGAAAAAGCTATCATTTTTTTTCCTGAAAAAATTTAAACATCTGTGAAACTATCTAATGAACAAAACGGACTTTCTGTGTGACCTTGGACAATCTTGATTTATCACTTGATTCTATAAATGTATGGAACAAGGAAAATTGTAATATAGATCACTTTTCGAAATATTAAAATAATTGGAAATTGTGAAGTGGTTCGGATTTATCAGTCTAAGTTTTACTATTTTGGAGATACCAATCATGTATCATGTTCATTGATTCTTTAAAGCCATTAGGTAATTCCCTCAGTGTGGACCACAGGCTGCCTTATTGACCTGCAGAGCAAAGATATATCCTTTCTTGATCTCTGCCTGTCTCCTCTGTTCTTGCCTTCCCCAGGTCTCTGCAGACTTGTATGTACAAGGTCACAGACTTTATAAGGGAAGTAAAAGGGAAGCACTTAGTCAGCTTCAGGCACTGTCCCAACTGGTAGGTTTAGTTTGAGTCTCTCTCCCTGTTGGGCTGTACTGAGAGGTATACCTACTCCTGGGCTAACCACAGAATTCCTGCAGTTTTAGCTGAATCATTCTTACCGAGTCTGATCTTCTCTGCATCCAAAGCCAGCTGCTTAATATCCTTATTGTTTCTGGATTTGTGCTTTATGGAACAGCTAGGATGGGGGTATCCTCATTTCTTCTTTCGTTCGTCCTATGCACTGTTATTGTTCTAACAAAGGGATGCTTGCACCTAAATTTCCAGACCTGAGACCCCTCCTCTCTCCCATGTCCTCTGCATGTTTCAGTTTATATAAATGGGCATCTACTTTGCCTGTGTTCCAAGGTCCTGCTTTGAGCCTGGGACTCTTCTCCTCCTTGCCAGTTATGCTATTGCAGGACCAAAGCTCAACTCCTCAAGGCTGCCCCATAGTTGGGCCTCTCCTCTTGAACTGATGATGTCTCAAGTGTTCAAAACTACCTGAAGTCTAGGATTCAGCTTTTCAGCAACCCCCGTTCCTGTGTTAGACTTAATTCTTGGATGGATCCTTCTGATTCTTTCTTGTCCTTTGGTCCCTACAGGAACCTGAGACTCCTGTTCCCATGAGTTCTTGGTCTGTGGGCATCTAGGCCTGTTTCATATAACCTGTCAACCTGCTAATGGCTGGCAGCTGAACAAAAAGTTCTCTGACCACATAGGTTGAGAAAAACCTCTGTTAAAATGGTTATTCAGGTTTCTTTTTTGTAGGGCTTACCTAAGCCTTTAATATACTTGCATTCACGAAAGTTAAAATAATAGTTTTTCCAAATATTTTTGTTGAAGGAAATTTGTTTTCCAAGAGTTTCTTAAAGGCCTAATGTTCTATAGAACGTATTTTGAAAATGTTTTTTTAGAAGATTAGACTAGGAAATCTCCATGGTCTCTTTCAGTTTTACAGAGTCTGATTCAATGACTCACAAGAAATATTTTTGGGGAAAGTGATTGAAGTAGAAAAATCTGTTTGTGTTTAGTTAACTCTGTCTACAGAGTAAAGAAGCCCTGCATTTTGGTTACTGGGGAGCTGTTTTCTGTAATGAAGCAAGGATAAAACAGAAGATAAACATTCTTTTATTTATTCAATCATTGGGAGACTATTTATTGAGACCTACAGTGTGCCAGGCATTACTCCAGAGGCTGGAATTTTAATGATGGATAAGATCAATACGCTCTCTGCCCTCAAGAATCTTAGAGAAATTAGCTAAAGTAAATTATCCTGCAAGCCATCTAATATCTTTGCTCTGAGTCTGTGTATCAGAAGTCTCATTTTAAAATTCCTCTTAAATTTTAAGTTCTTAAAGTTTAATTACATCTCCTTTTGTAATAATCTGGATTCAGTTTTGTCATTCTTCTATAATTAAAGAAAATCGGTGGGTTACAAAAGCAGATATGCATAGGCACACAATATGCAACAAATATACATACACAGAAACACATGCAAACCATATACATAGTTATTACTGAGACAATCTTTATCTGACTAATGTTAAAAATAAAACACTAAAATTGACATGCATATATATATATATATATATATATATATTCATATTCTCACAGTATTGTCCAGAATACCTGTGTTAAAATAACCAGGGGTGCTTGTGAAAATGCAGATTCCTGGACGCCACTCCAAATACTGTGGTTCACAAGGGCTCAGGAATATGCATGTTAAATTAGTGCTGCATAACATACTTATGCACAGTAACATTTAAACACTCCTGATTATTGAGACTGGGGTGGGGATTGGGGGCCTGAGCTTGTTGCCAAGTGGGCCTAGATTGATCAGAGGGACTCACATTGGCTGAAGTGAGGTTGGCAGGAAAGAAGGCAGGTACCCAATCTCCCAGTGGGATAATGTAGAGAAGGTACCTGATACATAGTAGGGTTGAAAAAGTGTTAATTCCCTTTCTTCTGTCACACCTCAAAGAAAATACAACCAACAGCTGAGCACACCTGGGGCGTCTCACTGTTTCCTCCCCTGTTTAGTATATTTTGTTCTGTTTCCATATGAACTCACTTGTGAGGAGAACCCTGGATTCTCTCCAGAAAGACTAGAGAACCTGCCTACTCTAATTCATACCTTGATTTCATTATTTATTTTAAAATTAGATTCAGGTATTGATAAAAATTCAAATAGCAGAGTACAGAAGATCATGGGATTTTTTTCTTCTCATGGTAACAAAAATATAAGAGCCTACTGGTTTCACATCAAAACTCTTGAAGCCTCCATCACCACATTTCCTGTTTGTAACTGAACAAAGTACACACAAAAGATTTAAGAAACAGAAGAGAGAAAAAAACTGAGGCAAAGATAAAGACAAGTTTTACTTTCACACTGCTTCTAATATAACAGAACAACATCACTTAGAAACAAAAGTTTGTAAGAACGTTTTTAATCCATGCATTAGCCTTATGGCTACATAAGGATTTCTCTGAGAAAAGAAGTATGTCAGGTAAGTGGCATTTTAAATTCTTTTGTTCCATTCTTATGCCTAAAATTTCACTTAATAATTTCCAAGCCTCCAACAAAGACACTTAAGCTTTAGAATGAAAATTAGTTTACACGTTATTTTTTTAATTGAGATAAACTTTGGTATAATTAAAACATTTTGAAATATATTAATGAGTATAAATTATTTTCTCTTAAAAGAAAAAAATTTGGAAGTGTTTTATAATATAAAGCTAGTTGTAGCTGTTCAGTAAGTGTTTTTTGATAACTATGCCATTTTAAGTACTTGTTATATTTGAAGAAACTTTCGTTGACCACGCATATTTCGCTTCAGTTTAGTTTAGTTAAAAAGCAGGTTAGGAGTAACCACATTCTAATTCTTTAGAGTTTAGGAACTATGTTATCTTCCCCAAAACCAATCTAATTGTCAACATTCAGAGAGATGACAATTTTGCAAAAGCCAATGAAAATGCCATCACTGTGGAATGGATTGTGAAGGTTGAAGGAAGCCATGTCTGTTCCACATTGATGGTTCATTCTTCTTTTATTCTATGTATTTTTTATTTCTTTAATAAGCATCTTTTCATGGTAAGAGAAAACATGAATATTTATTAAGGGTGAGAACTGTGAACTATATATGAAAAGAAAAATATTATACAAGATATTACATTGTATTTCCTTTCAACTTTTATTTCTATACATTCTACATGGCTTGCTTTTCATAACTGAAATAATAATAATGTACATAAAATCATAATCCAGATTTTTCACAAACATTATAATATAACCATTTCCCTTTTAATAATAACTTCTGCCTAATTATTGTAAATGAATGCACAAAATGACATCTATTGGGTTAATTATAGTTTACTTTGTTATTTGTTTATTGTTGAAAATTTATGTTGTATCCAGTGTTTTTATATTTTAAATGACAAAAATGTGAACATCTCTATAGATGTTTCTATATTAAGGGTTATTTTCTTTAAAGAAGATTTCTAAAATTGGGATTACTGAGTAAGAAGTTATGAACAATTTAAGTCTCATTATTACCAAATTGCTTTTCCAAGAGTGATGCCAATTTACTCCCATCCTAAACAGTGTTTCTCCTTAACAGGCTGGTCTCATTTTTAAAACAAATCTCTACTAATAAAAAGTACATGTTAACTCATTGTTTAATATGCATTACTTTGATTATAATGAGATTGAACATTTTTGCTTGGGTTTTTAAACTGTTTGTAATTCTACCATTTTGAATTGTCTGATCATATCTTTTGCTTACTTATTGCACTTATAGTAATTTTAATATAAATTTGTATGAATTATTTATAGTGTAAAGATATTTCATATTATAATTTCTGTGAATTTGCTTCTCACTGTTTGCTAGATTATAAAATCAATTGATTGGATTAATCACACAGGGAACATAAGGTGACATATGGTTTTCATACCTCTCCTTATCTCTTCCAGGGTTTATAGATTAGCAAAGAATGAAAACAATTGTTCCAGTTTTGCTAGTGTCCTGCAAGAAAGGGACATAGCAATACTATAAACAATTACCATGAGCTGATGGCAGTGGGGAACTCAGGAAGGCTAAAGGCAGTGAATATGACATTCAACTATTTCCAGTATTAATTCATTCTAAGTTTTAAAGGGATATGGTAAAATTTCTTCCATAACATTTTTTGGTTTAGATTTTTCCTCCAGGTATAATTCAGCAGCTCTTCCATTGTCAATTAAGGCCTTCTACAATTCGCAGAAGAGATAGCAATGTAAAGTATTTGCCATGAAAGCCTCATAGACCTTAAAAGAAACAACAATAACAACAACAAAAAACCTTAATGTGAAATAAGACAATCAGACGATGGTATATTTTCCATTTAGATAGGTGAAGTAAAAAGAAAATGTGTAAACACAACAAAAAAGTGAAATTATTGCTAGCTACTTAAAGCAATGTATGAAAAGAAAACCCCAAATCTTCTCTTTCCTCCTGCCTGTATGCCTTATAAATGTGCTGTTATCATAATTCTTACCATGTTTCTGCATTCTCATAAAATCAGTATTAGCTGAGTCAAGTGGTGAAAGCGACTCCTTTGGGCTACCATTAATTTAGTCTAAACAATGATTCACAATATAGTTACATTCCTATTTTTCTGAACAAGAATTTTCATTGTCTTTACTCAGTTTTCTCTTCCCTTGAGCCTCAGCCACCTTTTTGAGAATAATGAAAACCTTTCTTTTAGAAAGTAGGTAGGTAGGACTAATTTATGAATCATCTTTTAAACTCAGATGTTCTTTATATTAATGATAGGTCAGAGATAATGATTCATCATTTAATTTAGATAATGTTTGGCAGTGATTTTAAGGAAAGTTAATCCAGGAAAGATTGTCACTTAAAGATCAGAGCTGGGGAATAAATGTCCACAAACTGCTACTTAATAAATATTATTGATCATTTTTCCAGGCATTTTTTTAAATTTTATTTCATTTTCTCAGCATTCCTGAATTAAAAGAGAGAGAAAATTAACAGGCTTTCTTAAGACATTAGAAAAACATAAAAATTGAAGCATTTTGTTGAATAAAAGTTGCCACATACCCCTGTCATGTTCAGGTTTTACCAAGATGCTTCCCTAATAAGAAACAGTAATATATATATATTATATATATATATATATATATATATAATATATATATAATATGTAATATATATATTTTATATATGTGTGTGTGTATATATATATATATATATATATATATATATATATATATATATAATGGAGTAGCTAAATACAGATAAAGAGAGATTCATCTACAGCAGGAATTTTGGTATCATTTCAACCCCAATAGGATTTCTGAAGTTCACCAATTACAATTAAAGATAAATTTTAAAAGTGACATGGAGGAATGAAAACATATTGTCTTAAAATCTACCCTCTGCCTCACTCCCAAATGTATGCTTTCCTCAATTAAATTTATTAACTATTGGTTAAGGGCAATCATGATGTAGTAGAAAGGGGGGACCTTGATGTCACACAGATGCGCATCTGAACTTTAGTTTTACAAGGGGCTTAGGGAGTGACGTTCAGTGATTTGCAGACAGCCACACAATTAATGAGTGATATATTCATTCTCTTTCTCCACACTGTTTGAAATAGACATTCCAATGCTTTTGTCCCTCTCCCCATCACAGCTCCTCCCTGACATACACCATCCACTTCTCAAATAACCCTGTTTATAACACACACTCATTTAAGGTTGACAGGTTTCAAATTTTGCATTACAAACAATTATTTATTAGAAAGCCTCAAACTGGGTTTGAGAATCCACTCCAGTGTACCTGTCTATGACTGTAGTGCCTTCTAATGATGGGGTAATGAGGATGGATGGGGGGGGGGGCAGGTGGTTGCTGTGTGGATAGCGACAATGTGCCACATTCAAAACGTCAAGAATGTGCCTAGTTCGGCACCAAACCTTCACCCCAGTAAGAAAAACTCACAAGTACAATCCATAGGGATTGTTATATCAGAACTTTTTTTTAAACTTTCTGAGGTGCCTAAAATAAATGTACACATTGGTGGAATGCAAAGAAGAGATAGTCACTGCTCTGACAGAGTTTACAAGCCAAGGAGGAGACAGCATCAAGAGAAGCCATGTCCTTTATACTATAAACTCATACATGTGTCTCAATTACAGACTCCCTACAGGAGAAACAATTAAGACATTATATTTATCGCTTTTGTATTGTTAATTGTTTAAGTAACAGCTTCTGTAAGAATCCAACCTGCCAGCAGAAATGCATTAAATTCGCTTAACTGGGTTTCCTTCCAGAGGACATGTAATTGTGAATTTTAAATGCAGTGCCTGCCAAGTATTGTTGGCTTTAAGGGAGTCAGAGGTCTTATAATTAAACCTACTACTATTAGCCCCTGGCAGTTGAAAGCTAGATAGAAATTTAAACCATGGTTTTCCTAGCTGTCATTGCCTTACTAATAACTTTTTGAGGCCTTTGGCTTTTTAACAATATAAATAACTAAATTCAAATTGTCTGGGAGTTCTTTTTCAATTGATAAAAGCTGTACAGATGAAAGTAACTACAATTAATTAATAATGCTACTAAAGATTGCATTTGTTGGACAAGAATTTTTGAGTATTTGTGCATTCAATATTATAAGAGGCACTGTCTTTACTGAATAGATACTCACATGGATCTGAAGATATTCATATTGCATATGGAAAATAACTGGGTAAAGGAAATATGAAGTATGTAGTGTGTGTGTGTGTGTGTGTCTGAGAGAGAGAGAGAGAGAGNAGAGAGAGAGAGAGAGAGAGAGAGAGAGAGAGAGAGAGAGAGAGAGAACATTTATACATACCTGCCATTCAAGTTCAAAATCTTCACTATTTAGCTACTCAGTATATTCTCATCTGTTTTATTTGGTTTTTCAAAATGAGGGCATTTATTGTTGGCAATCAAAGTTATGAAAGATATCAGAAACCTCATGAAAAACAAGGCTTCTAAATGAACATCTTCTGTAAAACTCAGAGCACATTACAAAAGAAAAAAATCTTGGGAAACAAAGGGGTTAGATATGAATATAGATTCCTAACATCAGAGGGAAAACTAGAGATCGTGCTAACCCAACTTCACACATAAGAATTTAGCCTGTGTTTTCAGAGGCCTCAAACTGGTTACATAAAGCAAATTTACTGTTACAGTAAATGACAACACCCAGCCCTAGAGGAATGTACCATGTGGTCCCAGTTCTTGCCTTAGCATAGCTGATACATTTCATGAAAAGTATTAGGTCTCCCTTTAAAGCTTTTACATGAAATATAGGCTTGTGATACAGATTTAGTTTGTAGCTGAGAGAAATTTATCTTCTTGTAGCAATTAATGGACTAATACAACTTTTTCAGTGTTTCCTTTAATTAAAAAGATGAAAGGGAAACTTCTAACTAAAATATAATTTTGTGCAAATGATAGGATAATTTATAGCTAAAAATCAGTGT